AGAGATAGTAAAGCTGAGAGGCTACCCAGTATGAAACCCCTGTGAAAGTTCTAACGTCAAAGTAATTAATTGACTTACCTGTATTGATTTGATGAAAGACCAATTTAAAATAAAACAGTCATTTCTGTGTGGGTCCTTTATACAGAGATACAGATCCCAGTGTATGTATAGAATCACAAGCAAGCTTGATTCTGCTACTGGCCTAGGACCCAATTGCAAGAAGGGGGATGATCGCAGATAAAAGGGGAAGAAACTGATCATAGACCAGTTTCAGTGCATCCCAACAGAGGAGAAAGGGGTAGTGGTAATGTTGGGGAAACAAATTTTCTCCCAATGATAGATTTTCTGAGTATAGTCATTTTTATCAGGCCAATTAAAGTGCAAAACTTCAGTAGAGGGTCGCAGTGGGGACAGCAGTGGCATGAGCCAGGTGCATGTCCTGACCCTCAGGGGGGGGTGTTGAGGACACCCCCAGTGTCACAGAGGCTGGCCCTCAGGCCATTGCTGTTCTGTGATAAAGTTTTAACTCACTGGTGAACCTGGAGAAATGAAGAGGGCAGCAGTGAGTTTTTATTAATATTATTTGGAAGTGTGTTGATTTGAAGGACCAACCTTTATTAGCTATTATGTCCTTCTTCCTTTTGTGGAGAGTAAGTATTCAAATGAACACTCGTTCATGAAATGATGGAGATAGAAAATTGTTGTTGCTTTAAAAAAGGTCTTTACATGGCAAAACTTAAAAATTGGCAAGCTTATAATATTTTCTGATTTTTTAAAAAAATTTTACAAGCACCCGAAACCCTGAATCTGTAAGCCACTGCTCTTCTAGGCGATAAATCTCCCAGGAGTACTTCTTTGTTCACTTTACCATCCTCACCCTGAAAGCAAAACAACCCCTGGAATTCACGGCCCCACCTCCCATACTACCACACACCATGTTTCAACTGTAAACTCATGATTCTGAACACTGGTTTTACATTTTAGGTGTTTTGGTGTTGAATAGTCAGGGTCATTGATAATTTCTTTTAAGCACTTCAACAATGAGACAAGGCAGTGAAATGGCCCACGGCTCATCACGCATTGTCTCCACGTTTCTGTGTCTGCTTTCTCTCAAAGAACACGGCGCTTCACTTTGCTGCCAGGGAAGGCCAGGCCAAAGCCGTCGGGCTGCTTCTGAGCCGCGATGCTGACATAGTCCTGAACAAGCAGCAGGCCTCGTTTTTGCACCTCGCGCTCCACAATAAGCGGAAGGAGGTGGTTCTTACAGCCATCAGGACCAAAAGGTACCCGTCTTCCTGTCCACTGTCATTTAGTGTTTTCTGGCATCAGGGATGATCCACAGCCAGAGAGGAAACAAGAAAGAGAGAGAAAAGGAATAAGTTTCAGTCATCAAACAACCTTTTAAAATGTCAGTTGTCTACGTAAATTTTTAAATGAACTTTTTGGGTGACAACAGGCACGTGGCTTAACCTCTCTGGTCTTCGTAGGGGAGTTGCTGCTAAGACCAGCCTTAGCGGCACTCTTGTCAGACTCGAGGGGTTCAGGCATGTGGACTGTCTGGAACCCTGTCATTGTCAAGCAAATGCTGGCTTGCCCTACCCGAACTTGCCCAACACTCTCTTGCCAACAGAAACCCTCAAACTGGATGCTGGCAAAAATATTCCCCAAGGTAAATCCATGTTTATGCCATGTAATGGAGCATCTCTGTAAGACATGATCTTTTGTGGTTGTGGTTTCTAAACCATACTCCAGGGAGTTCTAATGATGTAGTTCAAGGATAGTTTGTCTCACTTCTCGGACGTAAACTTTTCTGTATAGTCAGATGGGTACGCACGAGAGCTAAGTTTTTTTGCCCAGTATCGGATATACAGGTGAACGATCTCATATTCAAGGCAGGTTAAGCCTGTGTTTTTGAGGATGGGCAGTCTCGAAAATCTGCTGACCATTCCTTAGAAATACCAGTTAATGAAAGTGTGCAACCAGAAGTCTTCTGATGGTAATGCAGATATTCTAGATGGATTTGACTGATAGGGTTAACGGAAAATTTGCTAGGATCTTGGAGATAAATGGGCTCTTCTTGACTTCCTGTTGTAGACTTAGTTCCTCCTTGGTGTTGTAAGTACCTCCTTAACCCATCTAATTATTAATAGATGGTGATAAAGAAAGGGGCAAACTCTAATGTTCTGGCAGAGTCTATGCTTATCGACGTACTTGATGCGTGTTCATTTGTAGTTCACTCAATCTGAGATGTATACATGAATGTTAACTGTTAAATATGGGCACAGTACTAGGTTGCTGATGTATATATGTAAACGTAGATGTCTCTTATGACATAATCAGCTCTGGAAGTACTTACTGTTTCATGGCTTGAAGAGAAAAGGAAGATATAGGCTTGACTTCTTTAGGAGGCATTTAGAGAGGCAGAACAGTGATCATAGCCATCCTGGAATTTATCCACATTCCTAATTTCTATTAATGGACAAGGATCCTATTAATAAAATGATCTTGGTTCATGTATTGGTTCCATTGGAACCAATGGGTAAGCATTGCATTTCATGAATCAACTTAAAGTTTCTTCTAAATATATAATCTTGAGTTTCAACTGTTTTGCAGAACATATGGATTAAGAATTATGCTTGTCTTTTATATTTTTTTTATAGATGGGATGAATGTCTTAAAGTTTTTAGTCATCATTCTTCAAGCAACAAATGTCCGATCACGGAAATGATAGAATACCTTCCTGAATGCATGAAAGTAAGTTCTCTAAAACAAAACTCTTTCTGGGTATATACTTGGCACATATTATGATGTGAGAATTTATTGTTTTAATCACAACCTAATAATAATAATTCTGTCTTCAAATAAAGTTTCTAGCTTTCCATAGGCTATATGAGAAATTAGTCAATAAGTATTTAATGGGGACTTACTTGGATTAAAGAATCCTATCAGTTATTATATGTAATCTAAGAAAATGTGATAAACAGATTTTTTAAATTCAAACAATCCCGTGTCCAGAGGAGAACCTACAAACTGGTGTTTTTCTGGCTGAATAAAGCCCCTAGATATGTTTTTGTTTGGAATGCATGTCATTGTTTCAAATTCGCATTAATTGCTAACATTTAAAACCAGGATGCTTCCCTTAAGGATCCAGATATCTGGCTTCCCTTAAATATGAGATCTGGTAGCCGGGCCTGCCTTCTGATAAGGCAGGAGTTGCTGAGCAGAGTAGCAGCTGCTTCCCATGGATGGGACAAGCACTCTCCCGCTAGACACACCGCCCCCTCTCCCTTTTGTGTACTTGGCTCCAATGCCTAGTACTAGTTGTCACTTGTTGTCATTCCTGTGCAATTGCTTTCCGTATAGTAGACAGATATTTCTTGATAAATGGCTCTATCCCAACTGTGAAGATAAAAGCCAACCCCAATCCGAGGAGAGCATATGTTTCACTAACAATGGAAGAAAACTCTTATGCCTGGCATGGTTCATTCATTGATATTACTTGCATGGCCTCTGTGGGCCCTTGAATGTGTGACACCCTGTTCTGCGTTAAATACACACCCAGCATGTGACTGGTTGCCCACTACAAGACAAACATGCACAGACGGTTGAGTACCTGAGTGTTAAAGGATGCAAATAAAAGACCTCCTGAAAAAGTTGGGATTTTGAGGATTGGGGCAGACATAGAATAGTCAAGAAAAGCAGAATGACTTAAAATGTCATTAAAAGGGAAAAATACATTCAAACACTGGAGCAGTAAGACATAGTGACACAGGGGATAGAGGACTAGATTTGGAGCCCGGAGGCCCTGGGATTTAATCCTGACTATGCCTTTTGCTGTGCTACTTTGGATGAGTCATTCTACCTCTCTGAGCTTCATTTTCTATTTTCTTTATCTCTGAGAAAGTGATGCTGATAAAGATCTTGAAAAGTGATTACACAAAATAGAGGTAAAATATATAAAGTACTCAGGATAATGGTTGGCACATAACGTACCTTGTACTATTTTTATACTGCTTATGTGGCCACTAGTACTACAGCTACTAGCACTCATTGTTTTTATTTTTTGAATAAGTACTATGTGTTAAATATTTTATGTGCATTTTTTTTCTTTATGATGTCTAATGAAAATTGGTTCTAGTCTAGTGGCACAAATAGCATACAGATTAACTTTTTAGGTGACAAAATCTCATCAAAGGGCACATAAATATTCAGGGTTGAGAACCTGCACCTCAGACTTTCTTACCTGGTAATTATAGTTGTTATAATCTGTTCTAATGAATTTCCTGCAGCATTACTTATAATTGTAAAAATATATATGTTAGAATATTGACATATGGAAAACATAATAAGGAGTTGAAGAAATTATACCAAAAGAATCTTAAGAATGATCTGTTATGGGATCATGATTGGCTTTTTTTCCTTCTTTATGCTACTGTATTTTCTAGTTAGTTTTCTATAATGACATATCATTTTTGTGTTATTTTTTTCAATAAAATAAGGGAATCTAAAGGTCTTTTAGTTTAGCCTCACATCACATAGTTGATGCTTATATAACATTTCTGAAAAATTGCTTTTACAGCCCCAACCCCACACAAGGCAGCCCATCTTTTCTTTTTCCTGATTATTAAAACTGTAACAACCAGACTTCGTCTGGTCCTGCCTTGCACAGCACTACCGACTGGTCTTGGCTTTATTTTTCATTATGTCTGTTATACCTCCCAATACTGCCATCTGGTCACCAACAAGGACTTTTCTTAAAATATTCTAAGTCCCTCTGGTACCCAAGATAGGTCAGGTCCCCGTTTCTTCCATTCAGGCACAGTCCAACCCTCTACCCTCCAGTTCGGCAGGTGGGGTTGACCAGATGTCCCAGGAACTCCTGGATACGTTGATGGGGCCATCTGGGGCCTTGTGTCCCACTCTGGTCCCAAGAAGGCAGCCAGGCTAGAGAGTATGTCTTTCTCAGGATCACAGATTTAGGCTACCAGATTTGGGCTGTCTCTCATTGTTTATGTACACAGGGACCCCATAAAAATGTATCTCTACACACTGTAGGCAGCACTCTAATGACCCCATAAGTGTTCTTTCCCTGAGTTAAACATCTAGAGGGTCTTCATTTCTTGTTATGACATCTATTCCCCACTATCCTGTCTGAATCCCCTCTGAACACATACTCTCTCTGTGTTGGTTGGTGAGCGAGGAAGAGAAGCAAACACAGTACTCCAGACTGGAGCAGCACAGAAGATGGGGACCTAAACCATAGAAAGAACCCAGTGCTGGGATGAAAGGTCTCGGTTAGGGACAATACATTTTAACTGTAAGATAGTGAGCACAGGAACCCTTAATGCAGATTGAGTATTCCTTATCCAAAATGTTTGGGACCAGAAGTGTTTGGATTCTTTTGGATTTAGGAATATTTGCATATATATAATGATATATTTGGGGGATGGGATCTGAGTCTAAATATGAAATACATTTATGTTTCATACATACCTTACACACATAGCCTGAAGGTAGTTTTCTGTAACATTTTTAATAATTTCGTGCATGCAACAAAGTTTGTGCTTAGTACTTATGCGTAAAATTTTCCACTTACGGCATCTTGTTGGTGCTCAAAAAATTTTGGATTTTGGAGCATTTCAGATTTTCTGACTAGAAAATCTATATATTCTCTAGAAGCCCAGAAAGACATCAAATCATAGGCAAAACTAGTGGAATATCTCTTACCCAAATTTTAGTATGTACAATTCCATTCTCAAGCACATGGTACATTTCTGAATTAGCTGATATTTCTGAGGTATGCAGAAGTATTTGTAACACTTTGTATTTGAAACTTTGTTCCTTGAATGACATAGGTTAGAGTTTGTCCTTGAGGTGTAAGAAGCAAAGTAATGGAAGGAAAATACCTTATGTGTTATCTTAGCAATGGGATAAAATCCTCTCTCATATATAGCGTGCTGCCCTGCCCAGATGTCTTAGCTGCTTTTTTGTTTTTTTTTTTTCTCTCGGAGGTTCTTTTAGATTTCTGCATGTTGCATTCCACAGAGGACAAGTCCTGTCTAGACTACCATGTGAGTTTATTTTATCATGATAATTTGAAATTTATTTTTTTATAATTCTCCCAAGGACTATTAAAAATATTGTTCCTTTAGTTCTACAGTCTATTGTCAATGGTAAATATTGGTTTCATCTGTCATATTATTATATTATCTAATTGTAAGAAAAATTTTCCCTCACATCTTTGGTTTTCCCCTGATATTTTAATTGTGTCTAATAGCATTATTTAGTGTTGTTTTTAGTCTTTATATCTTCTGAGGTAGTTTTGCCAGAAGAACGAAGGTCTAAAATATCTAAATGATCCTTTGAGAATTCCTCTTTTTCCATGCCTATGAGTTGTAAAGCAATTGCATAACAACTTTCCAGCATATTTATTTTTGTAATTAATATGCAAGAATTTAATTTTCTTTTCTCCACTTGAAATGACTCAGCTTTTTTCAAATCACTTAATTTTCAGCAGAATTGTAAGCTTAGATATTTGATTTGTCAGTTACTACTTTTTGGAGTCTATACTAAGCTAACTAATTTCTTTTAAAATTTATGTCTTCTACAGATTGAATATAATTTCAAATATCTTCAATGTCCATTAGAATTCACCAAAAAAGGAAGACCTACACAGAATGTTGTATACGAGCCTCTTACAGCCCTAAATGTAAGTCCAGTGTTCTCATCCTCCAGGCACTTTCCACCTGGGTTCTCAAATATTTTGGTACAAGCTCACATTTGGTAGAAATGGAAGGGGCCTGGAGAGAATTCTGGTTTTATAGTTCCATGTCTGTGTCTGCCATGTGTCCCGGCCCTTTTTTATTAAAGTAAGCAGTTTTTTGTTGTTTTTTTTTGTTTTTTTTTTTACAATTGCTGTAATTTAAAGTTCTACACTTCAGTTCTAATGGTCATGTAAGACCTGCCCCAATCCAGAATCAAATAGACCATGGATGATACAGTCAGTACTTGCTCCACACCTCTACCCACCTATATAGTCAAGAGTTTCCTCCAGTGTAAACCATAGGAAAATGCAGGGGTTGAAATTTTACAGCCACAGCTTCCAAATTCAATCAGCTGCTGGGCTCCAAGGTAAAGTCTGACCATTCAGAAGCTCTTGGCTCCATCCAGAGGGATGAACCAAATCTAAAGAAGGCTCTGAACATATAGCATGGACCTGAATTTCCTGAGACTTGCTCCAAACCGGCTCTTATTTCAAAGAGTGCTTTTGAAACCAATGAAGCAATGAAGGCCATGCATATGATCTACTTAAGTCAAATAAAGGGTCTCATACTCAAATAAATAACTGCAGAGAAAACAGACAACACATGAGTAACATAGGCTCCTGGTTATAAGGAGAGTGGCCACTAGTTTCAACAAATTGTTGCCATGTGGCTATAACTGCCCACACTTGTGTAAAAATCGACAAATTAAAATTGTGTGCATGCAAAATAAAACATCTTTGAGGATTAGATCTGAAAATTATTTCAAGTGCTCAGTAGCTCCTGTGGTTTGTGGCTCTCATTATTGGACAGGACAGATATAAGACATTTCTATCACAGTAGAAAGTTCTATTGGACAACCCTGATCTAGGCCAATGAGGAATTTTCATTTACCTTAAATGAGTTTATTTGCCTACATTGAAGCCTTTTGTACAGACCATGGTACCAACTGCCACATAAAGTGAAATTTACAGGCTTACTGGGCACTTGGAGTGTGAAGGTTGCAGACTCATGTGGATTTTCTGCACTCAACACTGGTGATGGCAACGGACCATCATGCAAAGGATTTTAGCTCTACAGAGCCTTTATTTTTGGAGGATAGTTTTACTAGTTATAGTATTCTTGGTTAGTAGTTTATTTTCTTTCAGCACTTTGAATATATCATCTCATTCTCTTTTAGCCTGCCAGGTTTCTGCTGAGATATTTACTGATAATATTATTAAAGCTCCTTTGTAGGTAATGAGTTGCTTTTCTCGTGCTGATTTCAAGATTCTCTTTTTATCTGTGACTTACAACAGTTTAATTATAATGTGTTTCAGAGTAGGTCTCTTTGGAGCAATTTGTGATAATTGAAGTTACTTGAGCTTCTTGAATGATTGTATCCATTTCTCTTCTCAGATTTCGGAAATATTCAGACGATTATTTTGTCAAATAGGCTGTCTAACCCTCTCCCTCTTTTTTCTCCTTTAGGATATCCATAAATGCATATTTTGTTCTGCTTGATCATGTCCCTTAAATCCCATAGGTTTTCCTCAGTTTTCTTTATTCTTTTTGCTTTTCTGACTCAGTGCTTTCACACATACTGTCTTTGAGTTCACTCATTCTTTGTTCTGCTTGGTCAGAACTGCTGTCAGGTGGCTACTGAACTCCTCTAGTGAAATTTTTCAACTCAATTATTGTATTCTTCAGTTACAGAATTTCTGTTTGCTTCTTTTTTATAGTTTTTATCTCTTTGTTGATATTTTAATTTTGTTCATGCATGGTTTTCCTGATTTTGTTTAGTTTTCTATCTGTTCTTTTTTAGTTAATTAAGCATCTTTATGATGGTCGTTTTCTGTTAATTGTCTGATAATCCATATATCTCTGTTTCTTTAGAGTTCAATTTTTGAGATTTAATTTGTTCCTTTGATTGGGTTATGTTTTTATGTTTCTTTGTATGACTTGTTATCATTTGTTGGAGCTTGGCTTTTGGAAAAAAACAAAACAAAACAGTCACATCTCCCGGTGTTTACAGTCTTACTTTGTATAAGTAGGTCCCTCATCGATCAGCCTAGCTAGATTCTGGAAAACTCTTAAGCCTTTTCTAGAGATTCATATTGTCTGGGCATGTGAATGTAATTTCAAAGTTGAAGAGATGTGCCTTCCCCCTGATGTATGTTTGCGGTATTGTAGCCTCTCTGATGCTATAGCAAGCCATGATATTAGAGCACAGTCTAGTGTCTGCTTGTGATACTGCAGCTTCTCTGGTACTAGACCAGGCCCCTGTGACCTACTTTGTTTTCAATGGCCCTCTCCTGGTGCCTGTTCCTGTCAGCACTTAGCTTCAGGCAAGATAGAACTCATTCCCTTGGGCAGTCCTCCAAAAGTTCCACTCTTCTGTTTCTCTCCCCAAGGAGAAGCCAAGAGTTGGGAGTTTTCCCCCAATGGCATTGTGCTGTGCCAGAGGGAAGAGCTGTGATGACTAAATGTCATGAATTTCCCTACTGTTTTTGATTTGGTACTTTTTGGCTACATGCTCATCTGGGGTGCAAGAACCTTTTAACTGGGTTCTGGATTGCTCACAATGCAAATTAGTTTGTATATTGTTGTTATAATCATTTGGTGTCTCTGTTGGAGGAAGGAGGGTGGAGCTTCCTGGGGCAGCAAGATTCAGCCATCTTGCTGACATCAGTCCCTCTATTTATGTATTTCTTGAATAATTAAAATTTAATTTTTAAATAGATACTAGTAATTCCTAATAACTCTCATGAAAACTTATGATCTACAGATTAACTTAACTACTATTTAAGTGTATTCTACGATTTAAAATCCTTCTAGAAAGATAAGCCTGAATTTCTTGAGGAAAGAATAAAGGTGTAACTCTTGGTGATTTATCTTTAATGTTCTTTCCTATTGTAATCCTATATAAGATTTAGAAGCTTATACTATCTCAATCAATCAGAGATCAAAAGAAACAGACAGAATCAAATAATTGCCCTGTATAATGGTTCTCTCTAGCTGTGTTTTTTTTTCAATCTTATGTCATTTTTAATTTTTTCAAATTTTCTAAAATAAGCAAGTGTTACTTTTATAATATCAAAATTAAGTTATAAAACCATAAAATACAAAGCTTAGTTTATATCTGGTGGTTTAATATGATTGTAATTTTATCGCTCTTCCCTTATTTTTCAGGCAATGGTACAATATAACCGCATAGAGCTTCTCAATCATCCTGTGTGTAAAGAATACTTACTTATGAAATGGTATGTACTGAGTAGTATTTCTTTTTCTAATGTTGTTCCTATTGAATCTATTAAGTCTTCTAAACAATTATGTTCTAATTGTATTTTAATGTTTTAAATTTTGTTATTTTAATGTTTTATACTTGGAAAAAAATATCAAAGGCAAGTTTTGGTATTGAAAATGCTGACATTGTTTATCTTTGACATTAAATAAAATATTTGGGGAGTGAGAGGGAATCATTATATAAAACTTGAAGAAGTATCCTGGACCCTATAGTTTATTGGCAATGAAATAAGAAGTATGTTCTAGGGAAGAACATTTAACCCTTGAGTCAAGTCATATGGGCTTAAATTCTCTGCTCTTTTATTAATTGGTAAGCCATGGTTTGCTTAGAAGTTGAGATTCCTTCTTAGAAAATGAAAAAGTTGAATTAGAAAGTTCTCTTGGTTCTAAAGTTCAGTGAATTTACCAAATAGAGTCCTGAAAGAGATTATAACTACTTTTTCCATAGGTATCTTAAGCAAATATTTTTTTATTTATAGTTTTGTTTTTTTCCTTTTATCTTGTTTTTGTGTTTTTAAAAAATTCTTTGTTTTTACAAACCATTGAGTTGAGGGCTTTCAATAGATAGCAGGAAGGTAGTTTCTCTGCTATGTACAGAACCCCCACCCAGAAGCAGGTTGTCTACGAATGGTTAAGCACCAGGTCCCCCGCAAACATGCCTTGCATGAGGGGCAAGGGTGTGGTCCCCTTCTGGCCAAACCCCAGTTTCCAGGACAAAGGGCTCTCCAAACCACACCCCAGTCCCAGTGTGTGGGGGGACATGCCACACACACGGGGGTTTGTGCTGTGACTTGCTGGTGGAGACAGTGAAGAACCAGCTCTCCAAGGCCAATTTTTGTTTGAAATGACTCAATTATGGTTTGCTTATTTGTTTTTGTAGGGTGGCTTATGGATTTAGAGCCCATATGATGAACCTAGGATCTTACTGTCTTGGTCTCATACCTATGACTCTTCTTGTTGTCAATATAAAGCCAGGAATGGCTTTCAACTCAACTGGAATCATCAATGAAACTAGCGATCATTTGGAAATATTAGACACCACGGTATTTTCAAACTTCAACTTTTTAAAATAAGAGAATATTTTTAAAATATTTGTTCTTAAGAATCCTAAGTCAATAATAAATCTGAAATATCAGGACATTGATTATTATAAATATCCTATAGAATTCATATATGGTACCAATTTCTCCAAAAAAAATACTTTGTGAAATGAGAGGAAGTAAAAATAAATAGGTTAATAAATGAGTGTGTAAACAAATTTAAAAGGCATTGACATTTGTGAGATGCTAGCTGGAAGGCCAAAGTGTAAAACTGCAAAATAGGTCTACAGGGAAGCAGATTTGTGGTTGCCAAGGACTGCAGGGAGTGGGCGGGCATGGGGTTTCCATTTGGAATGATGAAAAAGTAATAGAAGTAGATAGTGGTGATGGCTGCAGAACATTGTATTTAATGTTACTGAATTATACATTTTAAAGTGTAAATGTACATATAAAAGATAAAACTTTTAAAATGGCAAATTTTATGTCATGTGTATTTTACCACAATTTAAAAATTTTATATAGGTCTACAGATTCATATTCCTTTAGAATCTGTAGACCTAAATCAATTTTTGAACTCTTAATAAGGACATTATGAAATGAGTATGTGTCATCTCTACTAAATGAGATGAGTATTAACATCACAATAATTTTCAGTTTAACTCAAATGTAGACGGTACATAGAAATGAAGCACTCCCAAATAAATATTTAATAGTAGAAATTATGAAGAAGTTAAAGTGTTTTATTTTATATCCCTAATAACTACTTGTCTTACCCTTTTTTTGTTTTAGAATTCATATCCAATAAAAGTTTGTATGATTTTAGTGTTTTTATCAAGTTTATTTGGGTATTTCAAAGAAGTGGCCCAGATTTTCCAACAGGTATGTAATACATTCTGTATCTCTAAAGTTGCAAATAGTTTAACATAAATTAAATAATAAACTATTATTTGACATTTTATTTTATATTTTTAACAAATTATTATTTATGTTAAAATTTTATACTTTAACATAAATTTAACTGATAAGCTATTTTTGAAATAATATGAAATAATATTATGTCATAATAAAATCACATAGCTTGGCTAATGTATAGATTAGAAATATCAAGGGTAAGCTTTTCAAAATGTAGAAATAACATGATTTTAGGTAAAATCACTGTCTGATATATCCATAAAAGAGATGTTCCACTTTTACTGGTCCATATGGATCTGTCTGGCAACATATGATCATTATGAATGACTATTCTGTGTTTTCTCTTGCATCATTTTTAATATTTTGCTAACATAATAGATTTTGAATTTGATAATTTTAAATGTAAATGTTTATAAAGAATTTATCTGGCTGACTCCATTTTCAATGGGTCTGTCTTTGAATTTCTTTTTTAACAGGAATGCTTTTCTTTATTAAATAAAATTCTAAGTTATAATACAATTTTGGAACTTGTTATAAAATAACTTTTAGTTTATACTCTATTTGTTAAATGTTTGAACCAAGTTCATATCCGACCCAAGAATTATATAAATTATCTGTAGGTCTTTGGTTTCATTGATAAATGACATAGATCCTTCCTCAGTGTGAAGGTTTACAGGCTTTTATTATTTGTTTTTGTATATTTTTGTAAATGTTATTATATGCCATATACCTCTTATACAACATCTCATTTTCTATGAAAATTTTCTGTGTTACATCATGTAAGCACATGGATATTTGCAATAAATAATTTGATGGTAATAATAATGCTTTGCATTTATTTAATATTGTATTTTACAAGTGCTTTCATATATATACTTTAAGTATTAATAAATTATCCCAATTCTGAGAGTTAGACTATGCTGTTCCATTTTATCTTAAATGATTTAGGGCATATTACTGAATCTCTCTTGCCATTATTTTCATTTTTCCCAAAATAAAAATTATAGATTACAGTTTAAATCGAACTATAAAGTTGTATGAATTCTGTGTCAAATTTGATCTCCACATTTTCTTCTTGCTATTTAAGTGGTCTACTCTATGGGAAATTTAATGTCCAAAACATGAAATCTTTAGGAACACCATTATGATTTGTTCTCATTTCCTAATTAAGTCTCAGAAGAGGTCTCAAACTTCCTTAGAAACAGCTGTAGTTCAGGTATCCTGAGAACTCCACATGCATGTCCTTATACAGATAAAAGGTCCCAGGGATTACCAAACCAGCTTGCAGTCCCAATAAGTTTCCTTAAGATGGAGTGGACTGTACAGGAAAAGCCCAGCAACTTGTAGGATGTCCTTAGACATCAGACTCCCGTAGTACCAGGTTAACAGATGACTCTGGGCCACCTCCAACACTGGTCTGTACCCCAGGGGCTCTGAAGTCAATGCAAGATGGTAGGAAGTGACTCCTTGGTCCTAAACTTCTCTCCTGATGCCTGTAATTTCAGAAAAATTTTGTTACTGGTTACATATGTATAACCACCCGTAAGATGCCAGGTCTCTTATATGTGGTCATTTTTCATTCTTTTCAATCACAGAAAAGTAATTACTTTCGTGATATTAATAATCTCCTTGAATGGATTATCTACACAACAAGCATCATTTTTGTGCTGCCCTTGTTTTCTAACATACCAGCTTTTATGCAGTGGCAATGTGGAGCAATTGCTATATACTTATACTGGATGAACTTCTTGTTGTATCTTCAAAGGTAAAACCAGCTTGAATGATTTCTACATCTTTTAAGCATTTTTAAATCAAGAGAAAAACTCACCTAAGTGGACATATAGGAGTAACATTTATCGGGTGTCGGGAGGGTGGGAGGGGGGAGAAGGGGATGGGTATACACAACCACAACGAGTAAGATGTGCAACGTTTGGGGGATAGACACACTTGAAGCTCTTACTTGAGGCAGGAGGGGGGCATGGGCAATATATGTAACCTTAACACTTGTACCCCCATAATATGCTAAAATAAAAAAAAGAGAGAGAAAACTATTATAAGTGGCTTCGTTTTCCAATGGTTTTAAAATATGAAGATATTTGTTATATATCCTATTAAGGAAAGATGTGGGGGGTTCTTGAGTTTAGGGTGGAGACCAGGGTTTCCCAACTTTGGCACTATTGAAATTTGAGGCCAGATAATTCTTTTTATTATGTGGGGGGACTGTCTTGTGTATTGTAAAATGTTTAACAGCCTTCCTGGATTTTACCTACTAGGTGCCAGTAGCATATATACCACCCCAGTTGTAACAATCAAAAATATATCCAGACATTACCAAATGTCTCCTGATGCCAAATAAACCCAGGTCAAGAACAACTAACTGGTCTAGATAAATCTAGATTAAAATCGAGGAATTAAGTAGGAATAAAAGTGTTGGCTATTTTTGTTTTACCTGATACTATTTTGTAAGCATCTACTTTGTGTTAAAATACTCAAAAGAAACTCATAGGTAGCATGGGGAATAAAAGTGGTATAAAAAGCAAAAAAATAAGCCCAAAGAATCTAATTTTAGAGAGGGAAAAAAGAGACTGAGTTGCTCTACCTCTGACAGTTGCTAATGTTGAGTTAAATGTTATTTCATACAATCTTTACAATAATAGGAGGCAAAAATGACTCAAGGAAGCTGAAGCACTTAGTTAAGTAACTTTCTTAAGATTTTAGCTTGTCACTCAAGACATAGGTATTTAACCAAAGTCTTTCTGACTCCAACGATCATGCTTTTCCCACTGTACCATGTGCGTTGCTGTGTCATAAGCACAGTGACACAGAGGTGACCCTGGCCTCTCAGGGCCTGGTATGTGGGAAGGGCAGCAACCCAGAAGTCAAGAGGATTCAAGACAGGTTCATTATCAAATTACTGGACATCTCTGTGTACTTAGCCAAAGTCTCTTTCAGCTTTAGAATCTTATGATTCCTTCTTTTAACAAGTTGTCTTTGCCAGAGGAAAAGTACAAGTTAGTGGCCAGATGACACACTCATTGTCTACCCAAACATTTTACAATGTAGGATGCCGAGGTGAGAAAAGGAAATCAAAGGAGGTCGTGAGGATGGGTGAATGTGAATTATGTGTTGTGTGCCCTGCAATAGGTGCCTTCAGGAACGTGAGCTCATTTAATCAATCTCTTCTTGGGGCATCACACAATTCATCTCACTAATATCTGTACTAAGCATTTGGTAGCAATATTCCCAATATTCTTTGATATTGGGAAGTTACAATTTTTTGTTCCTACTTTTATTGAAGTAATGTCCAGTGGTCAAGTGATAAAATGATTTAAAACAGACATTAACAAGAAGAGGGAAAAAAAGTAATTGGATAAAGAGCTTGAAAATAAGACTTGATTCTTCATGAATTCTCATGTCTTCTTTTTTAAAATAATTGACCTCATCTGTAATCTCATCTGTGAAATCCAGTACCTGATTTAACACATGATAATTATTGTCACTGAATGAAATACACTTTGACTACAAAAGTGAGTAATTACTTTAAATTTGTCTTTATTTTCCTAGATTTGAAAATTGTGGAATTTTCATTGTTATGTTGGAGGTGATTATGAAAACTTTGTTTAGATCTACAGTTGTATTTGTCTTCCTTTTTGTGGGTTTTGGACTCAGCTTTTATGTCCTCCTGAATATACAGGTAAGGCACTTGCATCAGTAATTGATTTCGTCACTGTGAATATTGGAAATATATATGTTTATACTTAAATCTTAATGGCCTAGAAAATTAGTAATCATATAACAATGGTATTTAAATACTTTAGTTTTTTTAAATCTGATGTATCTTTCAAATGATTTTTATTGCAGAAAAAAGTCTAATCTTACTAAATGATTTTTTCCATTGCCAAAAAGTTTATGTAGAATGCACAATGATTTGTTATTTGTGTAGAAAAGAGCTTTTTATGACTTTGCCGCAGTTCATTAATGTTTCTTATCACTGCATTTCAGTAGCTACATGCCTGTGACTTTTAAAAAATATTCTAATATAATTTTTATCATTTTACTCTCCAGGAAACAGTTTTTCATCATATACATTTCACATTTCACTTTTACCTTCCCGTCTGTTGTCAGGACACCTTCAGCACCCCGTGGCTAGCCATAATCCAGACCTTCAGCATGATGCTGGGAGACATCAGTTACCGGGATGCCTTCCTAGAACCGTTTTTGAGAAATGAATTGACGTATCCATTTCTGTCCTTTCTGCTCCTTATCACCTTCACAATATTTGTCCCAATTGTCCTCATGAATTTACTTGTAAGTAATTTTTCTCTGTAGTTCCTGTTTGTTGATCATTTGGCACATTTGATAATGATAATTGTTCTTAACTTCCCTAGTATCCCTCCACTGTGGGATGGGGAAGGGGCTACTACAAAATCCATTCATTCAACATTCACCTGGTACCTGGGAATACCAGGCACATCAAGAGGCTCAGGAGATGCAATTGATGCATTCACTTGGCAAATACTTAAATACGTCTACTAAATGCCAGGCACTGTTGTAGGTTCTGGGAAACGGTGGTGAACAAAACAGACAAATACTCGGTCATGGGGGTGATAAATGTTATGAAGAACTAGGATTGGGGAGGGCGTCAGAGGTTAGGCAGAGACCTTTATGGAGGGTAGATTGTCTCTACACTCAAATTTATTGTTGACCAGAGATCCAAATGAGGAAGAGTCTCTCATGCAGAGGGTGTCTGCGGCATTCAGATGCCACTTCTAATCCAAAGGCTAGATGCCCTCAGCAGACACCAGAGTGCCCTTCCCCATGGAAGGCTTTAGAGAATCTGCTTGAGCCATGAACATGTTGGCCAATGCAGGCAGAAGTGCACCCCACTCCAGGTCTATGGGGAGCTGTTGTTGACTTATGGTGCCTGTTTTTCCCTTATCCATCTAAGCACACATGCATGCATTTATCACACTTATCTTTGAGTCTGACCATGTACCAGAATCTGTGTTATGCAGCATTCTTGGAGAGAAAAAAATAATACAGACTCCTAGGTGTTTTTAGCCACTTACATGATACAGCTCCAGAGTTTTATTTTGGTGACCTAGAAAAACAAAGGATGGCACTAGGAATGATAGAGGAGGACATAGAGCCCACATTCTTCTCTTCTAATTGCTTATGTTTTGGAAGATAATTATCCAGAGGAGAGAGGGGCTTAGCAGCAGAACTACAGGTTGGCACCATGCTGAGGATCCACAGGCCCAGCACCCACCGGGCATCTCTACCTGCGTGTCCTGGAGCAAAATCAAACCCGACAGAGCCCAGACTGACATTATCTTTCCTTCTAAATCTGCTACTGCCTCTCAGTACCATCTCTTGTTGGCAGATATTCTCGACCCCACCCTCCCCCTTTTTCCCTTAGTTCTTTGGATAATTATTTGTGTTTTACATCTATTTCCAGTCGGCTTCACCTCATAGCTCCTCCTCTACATTGCTGCAGTAGCCTTAAGGGTAAATCTCTGTCTTGTCTCACTTCTCTGTACAATTCTTCCTACAAATCATCGCCACAGTGATGTTCTGATAATAAAAAGCTGCATCCATTAGTGGCTCTTTTAAAGTTTTTATCTATGAATGTGAAAAGGATTTTATCCAGTCTAAACCCATCAGCAATCACTTCTCAGCCTTTTGGCTAAGATCAAGTGTAGTAAACCCATCAGCACCCCAGGCAAGGGTCTCTACAATCTAGATCTCACTGTTCCCAGGATCCATCCAGAAATGCACATTCCTTGCATGTACCACACTTTCCTTCATGCCTCGTGGATTCTGCACAGTCTGTTCCTTTTGGCTGGACAAACCTCCCACCATGGATTAACTCCACAATGGGTTAACTCTTTGTAAGCTTTCAAAACTCAGCTCAAGCATCATCTCTTCTGGGAAGCCTTCCTTCACCAATCCCAACCCCTGTTACCTTAGTCTAAATTGAGTTCCCTTTTCTTGTATTGTCATTGTTTTGAGGACACAAATCAGACAAAGATGATAATAATGAAACCTACTTCCTAGGTTATTGTGGAGATTAAATGAGCTGATTACAGTGCTTGGCACGAGAGAAGCATTCAGTAAATGTTACATATTATTAAGAGCTGTTCTGTGGCTCACAAGCCCAGATAGCTTTAGAGCCCAGGGAATATCTTAAGTGTGTGAAGCGCAACAGGTGTGAGACGATTAGTTTTGATGGGAGCTGTTGTAAATTGGAGAGAACGCCCATCTAAGGAAGGGCTTGCAAATTAAAAACCAAGCAACATTATCCTGCCCAGTAAAACCTATTTGCTGACTATATATGGCTCTCAGTGCTAGTTTATAAGCCCTAGGATACACTCTCCCACTGTTCAATCATTCGGTGAATATATTGTGTGTCTACTGTGTGTCCTGCTCTATGCTAAGCACTGGGCATACAGTGGTGACCTTGACAGAGAGAGCCCTTCTCTCATGGAGTTTACTCATCTTTGAGTGCCCTGAGGGCAAGCACTGGCTTTTCCTGTCTGATGCAGCATGCAGGATGCTAGCTCAGCATAGGCAGGGACTAAAAGTGCCTCAGAAATAAATGAAAGGGTGAGTGGAATGATCTAATTTTCCTCTCACCTGATTCTTTCTTGCCATGGATATCTAGATGAGTTTCTCACCAGAGCCTCTCTCACCCCTAAAGTGTACCTTTTTCTGCTGAATATATGTAAGATATAAAATATCTCAATCCTCAGTTTAATGTTTTAACTTTTCCATGTTGTCACATCACTCTTATCTCTACCTTAGTTGGTAAACTCTTTAAGTTTCCAACCATGTTATGTGGCTAAACCCAATAGCATTTGACATCAGATCATCCCTGTCCTCTCCAAAAATAATGTATTTTTATCATAAATTAAAATGAATTTCAGATTAATTTATGTGTCTTAAGTTTTCATGGTGACACTTAAAATTCCTGGACCCACCAATGTGGCCATCACTGTTGCAAAGGTATATAGGCTTTGCAGTTTTCTATAAGGTACGTTAGCAAAGGATTGTGCAGCCACTACTAGTGAGTAGATCACATGCCCACTCTCTCACTTTAGCCAGAGAGACCTTGCTACGGTTTGGATGTTTATGTCTCTTCTAAAATGTATATATAGAACCCTCATTTCCAAAGAGATGGTATTAGAAGGTGAGGCCATTGAGAGGTGATTAGGCCATGAAGGCAGAGCTCTCATGAATGGAAGTAGCACCTTTATGAAAGGAAGTGCAAGGGAGCTGTTAGCCCCTTTTTGACTTTCTGCCATGTGAGAACACATAGAAGGCACCAGCTATGAGTGCCCTTGTCAGATGCCAAATCTGCTGTCGCCTTGATTTTGAACTTCCCAACCTCCAGAACCACGAGCAATAGATTTATGCCGTTTATAAATTACCTAGTGTAAGTTATTTTATTATAGTAGCTTAGATGGACTAAGACAGACCTTAGTGCATTTTTAGGTGGGCCATTAAGCTGTAGTGATTAAATTTTGTGTCATACTTCAGATTGGTTTGGCAGTTGGCGACATCGCTGAGGTTCAGAAACATGCATCACTGAAGAGAATCGCTATGCAGGTAAGTGTGGATATTCTTTAACTTATGATGGGCTGTGTCCTGGTAAATCCATTGAAAGTTGAAAATATTGTTAAGTTGAAAACTTACTAAAATTAACACCATTATAATTATTTGTACGTAAGAAGGGCTGATTTTCTGAGAACACAGTTATTTAATATGGATATTTTCTCAATCCTGAGGAGCAACATCCTGTTTGCATATTCTCTGGTATCCTGCTATGATAAAAAATGATGAACAAAATGTTCCAGAACAATCTCAGTAGAGAAATTGAGAAATTGCCAGAGGCTCTTTTTTTATGTCAACATGTGGCTAACCAGGTAGCTGGACCAAGAACCTCCCTGGTGTGAGGTATTCTGTCTTATACAAACCCGCTGTTCAAAGGATTTCCTGATATTCGGGGTAGGGAATTACAGGGTCCCCATGGCATGTTTAATATGGAAGTTTTAACTACATCCATGATGTTTTGCTCTCTTGGGACATCTCTCATTTTTCTAGACAATTTGATGTATAATTTGCTAGACTCAAAGGTTTCTGGATAGGTCCTTGGCTATGGAATCTTGTGAGGTAGTTTCCTGTCATACAACACAAAGTTATTTCTTTGCTCTAACTGCATTGTCTTTAAATTTCAAATTCGATTGGGAATATTTGATGCTTCAAGAATATCTGATGACCAGTTGAGTGTATACATTCAGAAACTTCAGTCTGTTCAGTGGAAAGAAAAATCCATGCAAAGATACAACTTTCTCTTCACTCTTGTCTCCACTTTTTTTTTTTTTTTTGGTCTGAGTCACAGTTGTTTCTTTCCTGTTATACATTCATCTACACATTAGCATTTATTTGTTCAAAAACAATGTTGCAGTACATGGTATGTGCAAAACGCAGTACAACTTGGCATGAGAACCCAGAGGAAATAAGTGGATGTGGTTCCTGATTTTACTGAGTAAAATGTGCCTAGTTAGCACTCCAACTAAACACTCAGAGAATGAAATATCAAAATCAGCGTAGCGACTTTGCTTTCTGGATCAGTCTACACTTCCCGTTTCTGTAATAGTGTACTTTGCTTTTAAAAACCTCTCTGCTTTTGCTCATAAAAAAGAAAATCAACTTAGAACAATTCCTAAACTGTATGACCTTTGCCTTAGCTGTGTATTGTACAGAAAGCTTGGAACATTTAGGGAACAAAAACATACTAATTAAATTGTTGTTAGGTACAGAAAAAAATGCAAAACTAATTAAGGGACTGCCACATGGAAGATGTGGGATAAGTCAGTGTTAAAAGATGCTGGGATTTAAAAGGACCTGAAACTGTCCAGGACTCGGGGACTCTAGCAGGAGCAAAGGGGCAGAACACAAGTAGGGAAAGTGGCTAAGGTGCTGTCACGAGGCCCCCTTGCCTAGAAAGATGATTCGTGTTAGAGGGCAGTAAGGTTACCCCAGATGATGGAGGATTTTATTGAAAAACAGCAAACAAAGACCGTAGCTTTGACAGGGCAGCAAATGATGAAGTGCTTCAGGTTACTTTGTTAGTGAGTGAAGACTTTTTATCAGCTCTCATAAAATGAAAGTGGTATTTAAGATGATCTGCTATTATCTTGGTTTAGTGAGGAAAGACTGGAGGAAGGAAGCTCTAATGACAGGTTATTACTATTAATAAGGGTAGAGTTTAGGACTCCAGGCAGATGATAAGGAGAACGCTATATAAATCTCTTGGCAGGGACGTCAGCAGTCCCCCATAACTGTCCTGAAAACTCTTTAAAATAACAAGGAAAATAAATTTAAAATAATAATATAAGCAACAGCACCAGATAAAATGTTTTGAGGAAGCCCACACAACTACAGTGTCAGTGTGGTTGAGTTGAAAAGCATGATCCTCTATTGTATTTACATCACTCCCTAAAACCAAACAGCACAAAACCTAGTACCCCCATGTTACCTGTTCCCTGTTTTGGATCAAGAACAGCATCGGCCAGAAAACCAGGACACCATTCTCCCAGTCCCCCCGAGTTGTTTCTTAAGCAACTCTCTGCAGCCATTCTGAAACCTATGTCTGAGTCCACAGCAGAACTGGGAGCAAAGAGGGATGAGTCACTTATTTTACATGGTCATTTACAGGGTCATTTAGTCCCTTTACAGAGTGGTCTTGAGCACGTGTGGAGACAGAGAGGTCCCTGGGATAGCACATGCTGGGAGATGTGTCCAATACAGGAACTTTCCGTTCCTCGGGGCAGGAGTTGTGAGTATTTTGAAGGGCTGAGAGCTGTTTGGGGTACATTGGCATAGCCACTTTCCAGCACAGTGCTGGCAGGTGTAGACACCCCATAAACATATATAGCCTCACTGCAAATTAGGAAAAGAAATTCACAGAGTGCATCTTGCCCTTCAATATGGAAACTCCACCAGTTAGAGAAGGTAAAGATGCTACCATAGGCCTATAGAGCCACTCTCAGTGGGTCCCATTGAGCCCACACTGGACTTGGAGTTTTGCTTGTCAGCCTCTGCCAGGACCATATTTGAGAGAGGCAATCTGGCAGCTCCTATGTAGACCATGAACAGGTTAAGCTACACCATGAACTTTATCTGTTGGCAAACACTGGGCTTGGGTAAATCTTTCCAGTCAAGTTTGAATAAGTTAGTAATGACACATGACCTCAAAATAAATAAATAAATAAATAAATATATGTATAATATATATATGTATGCACATACATACATATATATATATGGCAAGGGGAAAGGAATATTACCCTAAAGACCCAAGGAAAAAAAAGAATCTTGAAAATTATTATAGAAAATCAAAGAACAACTAACTGATATTGTTAATAAAATACAAAAAAACACATAGCTTTCCTTGAAACTGGAACTAATATATAGTATGTTAGGTAGTTGTAAGTGCTTTAAAAATAGCAAGGAAGCAAGATAGGGAGAGTGTCATTGTGGGGTGGAGTGATGGGGGTTACAATTTTAAGCAGTGTGGTCAGGAAAGTTCTTACCTTGTCACCATTCGTGACTGTAAATCATGTATTGAAAATCCTATGGTCTTATATTAGAAAGCAAGTCTCACTACATGGTAATTATAATAAACATATCTAAACAACAGACACACCAAAGAGTCCCAGATAAATTTGGCTAACACAAACAAAAAGGTAGAAAATATGAAAAATTAAATGAAAACTCAAGATAAAAGAATTAAATGGGATACAATATTATATTCCAAAAAAATAGAAATTATATTCAACATAGGTCATGGATAAACCAAATTACACCTGACAGCACAGCATGAAAAATGTCTAAAATCCTCTTAGGCATGCTAGTTCAAGTTCTTTTACTGCTTACCTTTGTCTTTTCCCAGTTATGCACTTCTTCCTGTCTCCTACCCTAGGTGTATGTGCATATACATTCATATATGCATAAATTATATGTATATATTCATACCACTCATATTTCCCAGTCGTGCACGTTTTGTAGTACTGTAACATCCCAAGAGTATGACTGTCTTTTTCTTCTTTATATCTTCAGTGTTACTCACAGTCCCTGAACAGTAAACACCTGCTGGTTTAAATTGAATTTTCTTAAACATCTTGCCCCTGGACTGCCGATCGCTGCCCTTGTCTTGTCAATGAGTGAGATGAGGGGCAGGGGCCAGTGACTGAGCTAGGGACTAAGGACAGCCCACCTGGTGTGCAGAAGTCAGATGTAGGAATCCGTTCTCATTTTGCTGAACTAATGATTGCTTCTGTGCAGTACAAAAGTTCCAGATACTAATTAATGATTCTATCAATAAATCCAAAATGCACTTTAGGTGGAACTTCATACCAGCTTAGAGAAGAAGCTGCCATTCTGGTTCCTACGCAGAGTGGATCAGAAATCCACCATTGTCTATCCCAACAAACCCAGATCTACTGGGAGGTTATTTGTAAGTACACGTAACAAATACCATCAATAAGGTGCTACTGCTTGACTTCATTCATTGTGTTATGCATAAGGGGGCCCTTTTGCAGACTTTGTGTCTGCTCTGCCTGTGGGAAAAAAATTGTTGTGGGTTTTTTTGTTGTTGTTTTTGTTTTAAAGGACATGAGTAAGTGATAGGCAGGAAGAGGGAGGCATTTGCTTTGCTCTTCCAGGAGGCTCATACAGAGCATCTGTGTTAAATGTAAGCCATGGCCCTGTGAGAGCAGATGGGTGAGCAGACCAGCCATACCCTTCAGTATCTTTTTTTACAGTGCAGGTACTTCATTTGTTTTTCTTAGTCACATGTCACATTTATGAGCAGATATAGGTATATATATATATATATATATATATATGTATATGTATATATATGTGTGTGTGTGTGTGTGTGTGTATGTATTTGTATGTCTAAGGGTATATATAGAACACACAGGTACATACACACACACACACAGGGCATGGCCACTATTGAAATATACAAAGCCATCAAAGACTAAACAGTGCTATTGCATTATAGTGGAAGAGGGACCACAGAAAGAGTACTAGTGCTAATCCTAACCAGGCCTGGGCTTCCCTCATGTCTGTGATTATTTTTCATGAGTCCTTTGCAGGTTAATTTTCCCTGATGTAGTCATAAAATGAAAAAATTGACCTAAGTGTCAGTCTAGGCTTTTATCCTAACCTCGCATTGTCTCCGTGTCTGATTGCACGCATATGCATAGTTGCTGTTACTACCTGAACACAGAGTGCCTGGCAGTTGATTTCTCTATCCTAGAGCTCAGCCTTGAGTTCCAGGCCCCTATACCCAGCTGCCAACTTGGCATCTCCCTTGTATGTCTTGAAGGTGCCTCAAATCCAGCATGTTTGAAACCAGTCTTCACTGCTCCCATGTCCCACCCTCTGCTCACGCCCCCTACTGAAAACTAGTGAAGAAGTCCCAGTCCTTCACCAAGTTCCTAGTTGCAACACAATGATGTCAACACCATTCATTTGCCTATGTCAGCCAGCCACCCAGGAGGCACGCTGGACGGCACACTTGACATGTCCCCTTCCTCTCTCTGTCCCCTCAAGTCCAGTCAAGCCCCATGTTCAGTGCATTTGACTGGGTGGTGGTCTGTGCAGTAGCCATCGTCCCTTGCCTGGACTCCTAGAATCTTCTCATTCTTGGTCATTTCACCTCTTCCCTGGACTCTCCCCATGGTTTTGAAGATACTAAATTAAAACAGAATTTATCAAAATAACAATTCAGAAATTTCTCCCTGTGAAATTTTGTTGCATGGTTCAGTTGTGTTGAATAATGGTGCAGAGCAGCTTGAGAGAATTAACAATTAATTTTGTATGGAATGCCATCTCCCATGATGGGAATTTTTCACGATAATTTAAAAAATGATTCAATTAAGGCCCTTCCTAAACAATCCCATACCCCATTTTACTCCTTTTGTTTTACTTGCACGTTTTAATGTTTCTCATGCATTTTTAATGTATTTGTACATTTTTAATGTTATATTTTAATATATGACTTAATTTTATAGCTCTTTACATGTATGTTTCTCATAGAAAACTGGATTCTTTGAGGGCCACAGTTTTGCCTTATCAATATTTGTGCTAGTGAGCCTAGTTGAATTTTGGCACATGCTCAAGAAATAACTTCTGAATTGAATTTGATTTGAGTAATTATTTTGTTTTATCCGACAGAATTTATTTTGTTACTTGTTTTGCAACCGAGAAAAAAGACAAGAAACACCAAATGCTGATACATCTTTGGAAATGGAAATTTTGAAACAGAAATACCGGTATGGATTTTTCCTTCCATCTGTATTTGAGAAATTTAAAACTCTTAAATAATAATACATGGTATAAGGTGATATTGTATATTGGTGTTTACTTATTTTATATATTAAGCTGTCTTTTATTGACCGATGTAGCTAGTGTACTGAGAGTCATGAGACATTTTTCAGATCCAAAAGCTTATTTGCCACTACTCACCAATCAGTTTGCCTTCCAAAAATAAATGAATGAAAATGTAAATGCTGATTTCCTTTCTCTTGTGAGCAGTATTGTAAACTACATGCTTCATGAGCCATCTGAATTCATAGAGCAAAGCTCTAAAAGCTTTAGAGGATCCCTGGAGTAACTATGTTGTTGACAGTGGTTAAGCCTGCGGGCTTTAGGGTTAGTTTACTTGAGTTTAAACCGCTGTTTAACTAGGTACTTACTAACTCTGTGACCCTGGGCAAGCTGCTTAACCTTTCCATATAGTAGTCTCTTGTTTGTAAATGGGGGTGGGGGTAGAATAAACCTAGCCTTTAACAGTGTAACTTTGGAAAATCACTTAAACTTCAAAAATAAGTATTCCTTGGAAGGATCATGAGTACCATGAGGCTGTAATATGAGCACAAATAATCTGATGAAGAACACTTCTAGTACCTATGCCTGCCTGTACTCAGAAGGGCTAAAAGAGGAATTGAAAGGATATTCAAAATGTGTCTGTCTTTTTAGGCTGAAGGATCTCACTGTTCTTCTCGAAAAACAGCATGAGCTCATTAAACTCATCATTCAGAAAATGGAGATCATCTCCGAGGCAGAGGATGAAGATAACCATTGTTCTTTTCAAGACAAGTTTAAGAAAGAGCAGCTGGAACAAAGGAATAGCAAATGGAATTGTGTGTTGAAAGCAGTCAAGGCAAAAACGTACCAGCCAGAGCGTTAGTTACCAACAGCTTTCATGGGGCTTCCCATGGGGAGTTAGCATAACTTGCTGGGTCTAATTTCCAATTCCAAAAGAATGAGAAAGAAACAGAAATCTGATTGATTTCACTACATGTGAAATTGTGGTTCCTGAATTCTATATAAAAGTGTAAACCATCTTTTTCTCTCTCTTTTCATATTTTCTGCCGATCACTATGTATTGAGAATATCCTTGCAGATATATTCAATTTGGATTTTAATGAGAGGTAACGTCATTATTGGAGTGAGTAGAAAACTAGTTTGCTAGCACACACATTTTCAATAATAAGGAGTAGTAAACGCAACTATTAAGCTAGAATGCAAATGTCAGTACTGAATTCCTGCTTGAGAATTGTCTAATCTGTTATACCTTAGAAAAATCATCTCAAGCATTAGTAATACCTTAGATGATAGTCTCAAGTATTAGGTTGAGTTCTACCAGTTGGAAAGCTTCTTTGTGTTGGAAGAACCTGTGGGTGGTACCCTGCTGTCCCTGCAAGGATGAATGGCACCATCCTTCTTACTGCTTTCAACACACCTGGTGTCACTGCACGTCGTATAGCTAGAGATCAAATTAGTAGACCTTATGATATGCATGAATTTTACTATAGATAATGTATTTGTTCGCCAATGATCATAATAAATGAAACACCTATATGGTATTCCTCAGTCATTATTGTGTGAGCCTTTTTGTTGCATTTAATTTTTTGAGACTTGCAAAAATGCCTCCATCACATACTGCCTTTTTTCTTTTGATGTCTAGGCAAAGTGTGAATTAATCACACACCTCATCATTGATCTTTGCAAGGTCGTGCTCTTGCTTTATTTCCCCCTTTCTCCTGATTCTCACATTTATTCCCTCACTGCCCCTGGGAGATGTCACTCTAATGAATATGCCTTTGGCTGTGTGTGTGTGTCCTTGTGTTATGCTGAACAGTGTTGTGTGGAGCACGTTGTGTTTATGTACGTAGATTTTATTATGCTATGGCTCTTATTTCTGTTTTTTTTTTTTGTTTTTTTTTTTTACTTATTTGTTATACTTCTTATTTCTGTTTCTTATTTATTACCACTGGACATTATGCTTAAAATACAGTTATGTTACCATGTGTCCATCTAACACCTGTGACAGCTGCTTATTATTTCATTGTGTGCACCCATAACACTGGATTTAGCTATTCTAGAGATGGACAGCTTGGTGGCCACACGCCTTCCTGCTATCACACACTTTCTCAAACATGCATTCATACAAACCAGCAGAGTGCTGAGTGATACTATGTAATATCACAAAAGCAGACATTTTTACATTTGCGGTCCAACAGAGCACATGGCCTAGAGACAATGTCGTATGTTCCTTAATACAAAGGAGATCTTTGTTCTTTATTTTCCTTAAAACAGAAAGGCTGGAAATTCATGATACAGGAGCAATAACCAAGAATCTCCTGCTCTTCAAAAAATGGTTATTTTTTTTGTCTTCACACTTCTCAAACTTCGTATAGATTTCCAGTCAACATTTACTGAGCCCCAAGAGGGTGTGAAACACTGAACCACATCTGCTGTGTGGATATTGAAATAAATGGCTTGTCTTAAAATCACCTCAGCAACTGGTGAGCTCTCAAGAAGCTTACAGTTGGAGGAGTCAACATTTACTTTCCGCAGTCCTCTCCTCTTACTGCACGCACTGCATTCTCCTGCTTTTCCACTGTTTCCCTGACTGCTGCTTCCCTCTTCCCCACCCGGCCTCCCTTTCCTGCCGGCCAGCTCCCTGTGGACATCCCCGAGTTCTGTGCTTGGCCCTTTCCTTTTCGGCCTCATCATCTTCATAACTGCATTTACATATGCAGCTGACAAACTGATACAAACTCTCCCCCCTTTCTTCCAAAGCCCAGGCCGGCATGTCCATATTTTATCAAATCAAATAGATATAAATCTGAATTTGGTGGAGTGGGGAAAGCAAACTACTCCTGATTTCCCATCTTTCATCAATGGTACCAGTATTCTCTCAGACTCCTAGACTTGAAAGAATATAGTATTCATATGTTGAGTTAACTTTCCTAAACTAGAGCTCTGGGCCTTCACATCCATATTATAATAAAAAGCTTTAAAGGTTTTGTCTTCATAACAACCTAATCTTAACCTGTCTACTCAATCTAAAGTAGCTTTACTGTCCAGTATTCTGCACTTTGCCCAAACCAGAAGACCTCTGTTTTACCCAAACAGTTCATGGTTTCCCATCTATTTATCTCCAGCTATACTGTCTTCCACCCTGAGTGTCCTCTTTTCAACTCTTTTAGAGCTCAGTTTCAACGGCACCTCCACTTTGAAGTCTCTCCTAATCCTGCCAACTGATTGTGCCTCCTGCCTGCCCTGAACTGGCGCACATGTGCTTCTCCTCTGGTACTGCTGCCTCTATGGTCACCGTGACTTGCCCTGCCCCTCCCCCAATTAGGGGTACACTCCCTGAGGTTCACATTCACTGTCACCATTGGTCTCAAGTGATACAAAGAATTACACCCTGTTTTATCTTTTTCATCCTGTGTAGCTCCTGGCACAGTGCTTTACACATAACAGACGCTCAACTATACACATACACAAATAATAAAAATCAGTGAAAATATTATCATAGGCCTGAAAGATAATGCAAGAAGAGCCACTAAAACATCACTTTTCTGTTTTTTTGTTCCCACTGCTTCAATCTGGGTTGTTGTTGTTTTTATGATTTTTAACTAGGGTTAAAAATATGGCTGGGCACGGGGGGTGGCTCACGCCTGTAATCCTAGCACTCTGGGAGGCCGAGGCAGGCGGATTGCTCGAGGTCAGGAGTTCAAAACCAGCCTGAGCAAGTGCGAGACCTGTCTCTACTATAAATAGAAATTAATTGGCCAACTAACATATATATAGAAAAAATTAGCCGGGCATGGTGGTGCATGCCTGTAGTCCCAGCTACTCGGGAGGCTGAGGCAGAAGGATTGCTTGAGCCCAGGAGTTTGAGGTTGCTGTGAGCTAGGCTGATGCCACAGCACTCACTCTAGCCTGAGCAACAAAGTGAGACTCTCTCTCTCAAAAAAAAAAAAAATTATGGCATGAGCAAAAGAAAGGGTTTGTACTTTGTAAGAAGACAACTCGTTCCTTAATACTGATTTTAATTCCTATTGGTTGAGTGACTCTGAGTATGTTTCCTCCTCTCTATAATGGTGGTAATAGAATATATTTCTGGCCAGGCATGGTGGCTTACTTGTTGGCTCACAAAGTGCTTGGTAAACCCAAGCACTTTGGCAGGCCAATGCAGGAGGATTGCTTGAACTCCAGGAGTTCAAAGCTCAAAGCTGCAGTGAGCTATGATTGTGCCACTGCACTGCAGGCTGGGTGACAGAGCAAGACCTCATCTCAAAAATAAACAAAAAACAGAATATATTCCTTATGGTGTTAGTAGGATTGGACAATTCCATGCATGCAGAGTACCTAGCTCAATACATGCTATTGCAATGTGTTTAAGAAAAATGATTTACCTGAGATTAAGGAGATATAAAGCACTGGAATTTTTATATTATACCAATTACTCATGGGAATTTCCTTGAACAATAATTAATTGGCAGCCTGATGTAAGCTGAAGCTCCAGGTACTTTTGGATCCCATTAGTCAAATCCTGGAGTGTGCATACTACAATAAAAAGTTTTCACATTTAGAGAAAACTTTGATTAAAATAAATATTTTAGCACTTTTTATCTTTATTTTTGCCTTAGACTCAGATCACCCAACATCGCAGGTTCTGTAAAGAAATAATCAGTAAAGCCAAACTGTAGTCTTCATCAAGGACTCACAGTCCCTTCCACTGTAGCAGTGGCAGCCGGCACCCGGCAGCTTGATGACCCATGTGGTTGGTTGATTGCCTCTCAAATGCTGACTAGGGCACAGAAACCAGGAAACTCTTGGAGAGTTATAATACCGAATTGTAAAACTGTGTGCACTTACCACCATCCTGTACCACTTTGAAAACTTTCCCAATTATAAATGTGCTAAGAAATATTTATTTGTCTATCCAAATTTAAATAAGATGAAAAATGTATTAAACCAAATTGTCTCTATACTCACAAGAATAGAAGCCAGTTCTGCCTCTAAACCCAGCAGTTATAGCATCACAGTCTAGTAGTCAGCTCTGCCATTTCTTCTTAGTTTGTAGAGAATGGACTCCTTCACTCCCAGCCACTATAGACTTAACATTCTGTATGCAAGATCTGACAGTGTTTTACCAACCTATAATTGATATGCTGCTACATCATGCCTTGAAATGGATTGAAACCAAGCTGGTAAAGGATATTGTCAGTAAATGACTGGCCAGAAGATCAGAAATTTTGTAAGTTTCCATCAACTGATGAATGACGGTCAACAGAACATTATCAAACCTTTGAAATGTGCAACATGTTAATTTCATAATATGAAATATATTGCCTATGTGGCATTCTAATTTTTCAAAGTTGTATGTTTTTTAAATGATTTCAATGTATAATTTTTAAACTATGAAGAAATTTCAAGGAGAGCTAAAGCTAAATTCTATTAAAACATTTTGAGCTATGTTTGATACTGCTATTTTAAGTCTTAGCTTTTATAATGAGAATCATTAAAATGTGATTTCTTTGTTATTTATAATAATATCACGAGAACTTCACTGATGTTCTTTGCAAGTGAAGATTCAGCAAAGAGACCGTTTCTGAAAAGCTAGACTGCTGCTTTGAGTTGTAAGATGAAAACTCAGCTACCATAAGCCAGTTTGAAAACAACGCCAAAAGTGCCACATTGCTTACAGTAGTCATTCTGTTCTTTTTTTTATTGTTAAGCTTGTTTAATGTGAAAAGAATGCTAATAGAGCCAAAATGTAGGGTGGGCCGTTCAGGGTGGGCACGGCAGCTTTGCTGTTTGGGTGAAGTGCTTCCTAAGATTCAAGTACTTGCTTGCTTGGAAAGGACAAGTGGGAAAGAAATCAGGATGGGGTGTTTTGATTAAACCATTTAGAATGGCAATTGCAAAGATAAGTACAATTTTTAATGTTTTTATTTATTGTTACTATTTGCTTTTAAATAAATATTTTGGGAAAACATTATAAAAGAAAAAATAGTATGTGTATACACACATAAAATATCAGAAAATAGTGATTAGCTGCAGAATTTAAGCCTATAAGGATGTATACATACATTTTTATGTTCTGAAAAATAACATTCCAGGAACTACTTACAAGTGAGTGTACTGAGAGTTACTACTGAAGATAACATTTGAAACGTAAAAATCTGGTTTAAAAAGTACATTTTAAATGACAGAGTATACCTTGCAATGTTAGTTACACGAATCAGATGGGTAAATAGCAAACTAGGACTATACACTTGAGACGTGCTAATATACAGAGTTTTATGTTTATTATTTTAAAATATTGATTAAGACAAGAAGTATCAGATACTTTCGAATTAAATAACGAATGTATCACTGATAAAAAAAAAAAATA